CTGCAATGCTTGGTAAGAAATGTACGCATTATCCTGCCCATGTAATTGTAACCCCTCTGTACAGTATGTTCACAAATAAAATAAAAAAACAAAGTATTATTTAAGCATTTGCTTATTATTGCTAGTTATTTCCTTTTTTCCTTCCTTCCTTCTCTTCTTCCCCTCCCTCCCTTCTTGTCTGCCTTCTTTCCTCTTTCCCTCCAGTTAGGGTCCTACACTCTGCCTTGAACCCATTATGAAGTCTAGACCGCAGTCAAATTTATAATCCTCCTGCCTCCACCTCTCAAGTTCTATAGAGACACACAACACCACATCCTGCTATTTCTTATTATTATCACATTGAGATAGAGATAGTGTGATCTGGGAAGGCTTCTACAAGGAAGTGCATTTAAGTCAAATCTTAAACACTCAGCAACACAAAAATTTAAAGATAGAGTTTGGAGGCAAAAGAAACTAAAGTACAAGCCAGGTATTGGTGGCTCACGCCTGTAATCCTAGCTACTCAGGAGGCTAAGATCTGAGGATCATGGTTCAAAGCCAGCCGGGTCAGGAAAGTCCGAGAGACTCTGATCTCCAATAAACCACTCAGAAAACCAGAAGTGGCACTGTGGCTCAAGTGGTAGAGCACTCGCCTTGAGCTGAAGAACTGAGGGATAGTGCCCAGGCCCAGAGTTCAAGCCTGACCAAAAAAAAAAAAAGTACAGAAACCCCCAGAACCAGATGTGTGACACACATCTGCTAAATGTAAAGAGCTGGTCAGCAACCGTGTAAATGAGTGACACTGGTTGTAGGAAGGAGTTGGACATTATTCTAAGGATAAAGAGAAGCCTTGGGTGCCTTGTCAGCATGGCATTAACATGCTTTGTTTTACATTTTACAAATATCAATGCAATGAAAGTATCAATAACATCCATCTTACCATTAATCCTTACTTTTCAAATCCTGTTTTTTTTCCCTGCAGGGTAAATAATTCTCTGACTGTATTTTTCAAATTTATAATAGTGTTTTAAAAAGTAGAATCAGATTAAAAGGCTTAGCTAGATACACACATATGTTCATATATATGTATATGTGTATTGATACATATATAGATACATATCCAGCGTGAACAAAGATTATGTAAAATCACATGCAGACCATATTTTAGGATTCTAAAATTCGTATTAAACATATTTATTAGGTTAAAAGTCACAATCCTTTATAGGAGAGCCATTGAATGGTTTAGTTGCCTGTCAATTAGACAGAGGAAGAAGAGACTTTGGGGGTTCCACTTCTCAAATTTCTGTCCCATTGGCCTTACCAGTTAGTTATTAGCTCCTTCTTCCTCCAGAGAAAGAAAATAGTGCAAAATGATTTTTTGGAACCAGGAAAAATTTACTAATGGATGTTGCTACTTTCCTTAGTCTTCCTCTTAGGCTATATTCCTCTCTAAATTCATAGTGATTTAGCAAATTGAAGTCTACCTTGGCCACAATGTCCTACCCAATCTCACCAGATATCCTGGGTATGGTTCTCTGGCCTCAAAGTAACTATGTTAATTAGTTGATAACACGTGTGGAGAGGGATAAATTATGATGGAAAAAGAGCATTTCTATTCTACTAGCATACATTAAATCATCAACCTTAATATTTAACACTTGAAGGACTATTAGTGTAGTTAAAATATCATGTTCAATACTCCTTACATTACCACATATGTATATAAACAGAAGTATACTTTACAAGAAGACATCTTTGAATCTTCTTAATTCATAAAGGTTCAGTTTTAAAAGTTAAAATATATAGGTATATAAATGAACAGTTTACCTCTTTGGTCAGGTCTTTCATTATTGCCTTCTGTGGTTTCAGCAGAAGAGGTGGGTGGACTAACAGGAGGGCTGGAAGTAAAGTTTATACACCCTGTAGCTGTGTTGATTTCAAAGTACTCTTGATTGTGATTCATTCGATGAAAATCCAGAGATGACACAATGGATGTTCGCTGTTTTGGCTAAAAATAAGAAAGCACGATGAAATCATTAATATGATAATATTCCCATCTATTTAACCAAACTAATCTTTTTTTATTTAGTTAAGCTCTGTGGGTTCTGTACTTAAAAAAGAGATACCACACACTCACTCAACTTAGTGAACATATTATTTAATGACAAAAGATCATGGCATAATTGTTATAATTTAGGCATTTCATTAGATTCAACACAGCATGATAGAAATATAGTACTCAGCATTTCTCTTAATGATCCATTTAGAGAGTTGCAACTTTATGTCACCTTTCATTCAACTAACATTTATTAAACATCTGGCATTTGCTAACCCTACAGGTATAGGATCTAATAAAAGGTCTCTTACAAGACTGAAGTATAATTAAAGCAGTTCTGTTTTTTTTATTCTTTTACATAGTCCAAGGAATGGTAGCATTGGATATTTTCCCAAATTATCATATGCTGGAATTTAATCATCAGAAGTAAGTGAAGTTCCATGGAATATTCTCCAGGACCAAAGAATCTATTTGGAATTCATAGTGAGCTTTGATTTTCTTTTTTTTAAGGATTTTAATTAACTCCCACATAACAAGAAAAGTCAATTTAAGCACAAAAGTAAAAATCGTGGAATATTGGCAGATATAATCTACACCCTTTGTCAATAAAGGATTATTCCTTATAGTAGATCCTTGTTCTATCAATAGTACCCAACTTCTTTCTTCTTTCATGAGGTTTTAACAATTTGTCCTTTGGAACCACTGAAATCCTTCTGTCTCACAGATGTGCATATCTTTCCCAAGAATCAACCTATTTACTTTTCGTTCTTTTATTCATATTATTAAAATATTTCTTGTAATAATCACAAACATCATCTCTATATAACAAGATAAAGTTTATTGTACATTTACCTTCTCAAAATACAAACATTTTAATTTTCTAATATTTTTGTTGCTTTCAATATCTTGTAACTCACTGTACTCAAATGTCTAGCCTCTTCCAAATCATCATAATTTAATCTTTATGTAGATACCAGTTAGTGTATAATCTAAAGCAACTGAGTGGAAGACATCTGAATTTTGCAGAATGTTTTAAAATACAAGGTATAAAATCATCACAATATGCTTTATTCTTTCATCACTGCAATATTTTTAATGAAAGAGGTTGAGAGGGATAAATATTATTATAGAAGAGAGCACAAGTCATTTATTATTATGACATATCAATTTGGTAATAGAATTCCAATTAGTACTCACGCAAAATTCAGTTGCTTTTGAAGTTTGAAAGATCAGGATTTAATGTCAGGTTTGGTTTCTCATGAAATGTATGTCCTTGGGGCTATGAATCTCAATATCACATTCATTGCCCTTTCCACTAGAGTCTGGAACAGCAATTACAGAGGCACAAGCTATGACCATGGCTCTAATAGACACACGGGTATAATCATTGTTCTAGGTTTTGTTTTATTATTTTATGTTATAATTTGTTTTATTATATATAGATAACAATTTGCTATACTGTTTCCTCCTATAAGTAAAAGTTAAGCCAACTGATATATGTGATCTCCTTGTAAATGTTTTTAAAATATGCTCTGAACTTAGACCACCCAGAATTCTAATTGCAATAAAATGCCAGATGCCAGTGGCACATGTTTATAATCCTAGCTACATGAGACTCTGAGATCAGAAAGAACATGGTTCCAGGCCAGCTCCAAAGGAAAAGCTTTATGTAGTGACACACACATATCATCCCAATTACAACAGAAAGCATAAATAAGAGGACTCAAGTGCAGACTAGCCCAGGCAAAAAGCAAGACCTTATCTTAAGAAATAACCAAAAAATCCTGGAGGTATGGTTCAAGCAGTAAGGCACCTGCCAAGCAAATGAGAAGCCCTGAGTTCAAACCACAACATATTACTCAAATATAACAAAAATAAACACACACAAGACATATTTTTATATGGGACATTTATATAGGACATTTTTCTGCATTAATTCATTTTATAATATTTGCTGATTGTACACTAAATTACAGAGAATGATGAGCACTGCAATAGGAATAAAAATGTAAGACATTCTCCCTGTTCTCTAGGTGACTGTAGTCAAGGAGGGAGGAAAGACCAACAACACAATGACAGTCAGCACAGCACAGAAGCTACAGTCAGCAATAGCCAAAAATGTAAGGAACTTCAAGCTGGGCCTCTACGTTAGGGTGAGGATCAGAAAAGGCTTCCCTGGGAGGTGAGCCATAGCTCATTAGAAGCTTGATGAACACTGGTGAAAGGCAGACAAAACAGAATACAGAAAGTGAAGACAAAGCTGCAAATAGATCAGTATGGCCATCGTGGTGTATGTGAAGGTAGGTGAATTTCAGGCCAGTTGTGGAAGCCAAGTTATAAAGGGGCCTCAATGCCACAGTAAGCAACAATGAGATGTACAAGTTGTTATGTCGAAAAACAAACTTTACAACTTTGGTGGGGGGGGAGGATTGGGTAGGGGGGGTGTGGGGGAGCAGAGGATGGGAAGGGGAAACAAAGGAGGAGGCAACAATGCTTGATAAGAAATGTATTCATTATCTTGCCCATGTAATTGTAACCCCTCTGTAGGGTATTTTCACAATAAAAAAAAAAGACTACTTAAAAATAAAACAAGAATAACTTGAACATGTTAAGTGACTACTGAAGATTTCCAAACAGGAATACTTCAAAGTTTGGTTAGTATTTTAATAAACAAATTTTTAGCAGTTTAAAGAATAGATTTATAGGTTGAGGTGTAGGAAAGGAGACTAGTTTGAGAGATGTTATAGATTTCCAGCCAAGACATGGTATGGTCATGCAGCAAGACAGTAGCCATTATTTTTTCAGAGAAAGGTCTCACATTTTTGCCTGGGGCCAGCCATGGAGCACAGACTTCTTACGTATTTCTTCTGTATGTATAGGTTATAGACATGAAACACTATGCCCATGAATGTATCCAGATGCAGTGTGGTGAGGGTCTCACTAATTCCTATCTGACCTTGTACCATGAGACTTTGTATTCCACCAAGTAGCTAGGATTGTAGGCATTTGCCATCACGCCTGGCTCTAGCAATTCTTGTCTTTTTTATAAAAGAGTCATTTTAGACAACATTTTCATGCTCAATACAACCATATCTGTAGCTTTGCCTTTATTTCCCAGTCTCACTTGCATTTGATTGGGCCATGTGACTAACTGCAACTAATTGGTGGTATAAGTAAGCTCTATCTCTCTCACTGTGATGATGTAGCTGCAAATTAAAAGAAGGTCATGCAACCCTGACAAGGCTTTAGGAAGTGTTAAAGTAAACTTGCTTCATGCTAAGCCATTATGATCTGGGTTTGAATATTATGTCAGATAGCATTGCTTACTCTACCATAACCAGAACAGGATGCAATGGCTAAAAGAGGCTCAAGATTACATAAGAGTTAGCCAAAGAGCCATACATCAGAAAGAAGGTTCATGTGCTCAAATCTAGGGACATGTGAATGGTATCTCAAAACACAAAAGGCAAAGGCAAGATTTAAAAAAGCCTTGCCTTTGGAGAGCTATAAAATAGCAGTGGGAGAAACAATAAGGGATAGTAGCAATACTAACATGGAGATTAAAGAGGATGGGTTTAGAACATGCTCTTAAACTTTGATATGAATCCATTTTTAACTACTCAAATGGAATTCTGCTAAGCCATTAGGTATGAAAAAGAGTGTTGACACAAGTTCACTGAATTACAATTGGAGTTGTGTTCACTGTGGCTCATCCACTTTAAAACAACCCCCTCCCTGTGGTCCAGTCCTCACATCTACTTTCCTAAGGATTTGAACCCACACATGTTAACTTAGCAGACATCAGAAAACTGCATCTCAGGGACCACAACCAATTTTCTGCATGTTTTTATCAAACTTATAAGCTAAAAATGTTCTCCACATTTTTCATAGTTGAAAAAAAATCAAGGGAAGTATTATGCTATTCACATATGAAAATTCCAAAATTCTGAATTAATTGTCCCTAAACATGGCTTTACTGGGATTTTGCCATGCCTCTGGTTCTTGTCTGGCTGTCTTCCTGCTCCAGCAACCAGTGAGTGTTTACTCCAGAGCCATGAGAACTACAAAGCTTAAGCTATTTTACTTTCTAGTCCTTCTTATTAAAAAAAAAAAAAAAAGCTTCTCATCCATACAAGACAGTGGTTAAGGATGTCTCTGAGGAACTGAAATTAAACAAACTGCAAGGCCTATAAAGGTTCAGGACCTGCCATGAAAAGTTATTGGAACCAGCAAAACATGGAAAAATGGACTCCTTCCAAACAGTGTTTTCCATGATCTCTATCTTGATCTGTTGTGGTGTTTTTTTGTTTTTTGGTCGGTCGTGGGGCTTGAACTCTGGGTCTGGACACTGTCTCTCAGCTCTTCAGCTCAAGGCGAGCGCTCTACCACTTGAGCTACAGCGCCACTTCCGGTTTTCTGGTGGTTTATTGGAGATAGGAGTCTCACAGTCTCTCCTGCCCAGACTGGCTTTGAACCGCGATCCTCAGATCTCAGCCTCCTGAGTAGCTAGGATTACAGGCGTGAGCCACCAGTGCCCGGCTTGTTGTGGTGTTTTGAACTTTTTTAAAATTTGTTATTAATGTCTTACTCCAATGGGCACAGGGACAATCACAGCACAATAGTAAATCCTTACACATCTCTGGGGACTCTGCTTTGCAATCAGTTAAGTGCTCCTGACCTTGACCCTCTCCACACTCAGGCTCTCACTGCTATGTCAGCGGTTGCTGGGGTGGGGAGTAGTGGTGGTACTGGGATTAGGGGAGTTGATGGCCAAGAATCCCTCTGTGTAAGATAGAGATATGGTGGGATGTAAGACAAGGATCAGCAACTCCAAGTCAAGCATAGATTCCATTATAACCCATATGCCTTACTGAAAAACACAAGTTCAGACATATAACAATTAAGAATTTTAGATGCAGCAGTAAATCTCAGTCCTCTGAGCACAGAACGGG